CGTCTTTCCGATGATGGAGCTTGTCTGCCTCGGTTTGCAGTCGGGCTAACGCGAAAGTATTGAGACCTTCTCGTGTGGTGTTCCTCCAACAATTGCGGTGTGTAGTAATCGTCTCCCACGTGATGGGATCGATTTGGCACTTTTTCAGGTTTGTCTTAAGACTATTCTTATACCTTTTCAGTTGCTCGCCAGCGATACTTTTACTATTCGTTAGGTCACTAAAAAGTAGTAGTTTTTCATGGATAATGGTAGCTCCGATGCTCCTGCAGGCGGTGTCAGCGAAAAAATTGGCCTTCAGTCTCTTGTCTTCCCAGGGAACTCGGAGGATGTAACGTAGACTACGATGGTGAAAGTTTTCAGGTGCCTTGAGGTGCCTCGTGTATGTAACCCATGTATCGCTGCCATATAGCATGGTGGGAAGGACGACTGCTCGATATACGTGCAACTTTGTAGATAATTTCAGCTCCCTACAGCTAAAGACACGGATACGGAGTCTGCCAAATGTTTGAGATGCACATCTGATCCGATGTTGAATCTCTTCATCGATGTCCGCAGTGGTGAACAGGTGGGAGCTGAGATACTGAAAGTGGGTAACATTAGAGAAGGTAGTACCGTTAAGCTGGATGGATGATGGAGGCATGGCTGAATCAGGGGCAGGCTGAAAGAGAATCTGAGTCTTACGTAAATTCACCTCAAGGCCTTAGTGTGCATACGCATCTCTGTAGGTGTTCAGGATCTCCTGTAAGTCACGTTCAGTGTGAGCGACAAGGGTGAGGTAGTCTGCATACTGAAGTTCAGTAATGGAAAATACCGAAACCTATGTTCCTGCCTGGAGTCTTTTTATGTTGATAAGATCTTTCATCCGTTACTCGATCTCCACCCCGTCGGCTAAATTGGTACTGGCACGAGTAAGGAAGCCAGCCAAGAAAATCGAAAAGAGAGTTGGCGCCAGTGCACATCCTTGTTTTAGCCCTTTTGGATGGGGATTATCTCAAATTGGGTGCTATTTTGCAGGACACTGCCGTCCATGCCATCATGGAGGTGCTTCACAATTTTGGTGGGCAGCCAAAACAGCTGGGGGTCCGCCAGAGGGCTTCCTTGTTGACCAAGTCGAAGGCCTTGGTTTGCTCGATGAAGGCCATGGACAGATCACGGCACTGTAATGTGCACTTTTCCTGTATCTGGCGGGCAGCAAAGATCATGTTAATGGTGTGACGTGATGGTCTAAAGCCATATTGAGATTCTGGGTGGAAGTTTTCCGCCTCAGGGAGAAGTCTGTTTAGGAGGACTCGGGCGATATCTTGACAGTTACGGACAGCAGCGAGATGCCGCGGTAGTTGCCACAGTCTAACCGGTCTCCCTTGTTCTTATAAATATTGACAATGGAGGTGCCTTTAAGAGCTTGGGGGATTAACTCCTTTTCCCATATATTCTTCAGGAGACATTGGAGATGGCTAATAAGCAGAGGTCCTCCTACTTTATACACCTCGGCTGGGATTCCATCAAGCCTTGAGACTTTGTTATTTTTCATCTGTTTGATTGCAGTAGCTACCTCATCCAGGGATGGAGGATACCTCAGATGGGTCAGCTCTGGATGCTGAGAGCACTGCTTGGAAGTCAGGACATCCACATTAGTGTTTTGGTTGCGTAACGAATGGTAGGGCTCTTTCAAGCGTTATCGGATGCCTTCCTCATTTTTAATTAGGGAGTTACCGTCAGATGAGCGGAAGGAGCTTTGCCATGAGTAATTGGCCCATAAAATGTTTTAGTGGGATTGAGAATTCCTCGCATCTTGTGTTGATCGGCAAGTTTTTGAGTTTCATGTGTTTTATTCTTAAACCAGCCGTTCTTTAGTTTGTCAAGTTCATTCTGGGCCGCCGATTTCATCTTGCGGAAGGTATCAGCTTTGGTCCTAGACCGAGACTTGGTTTATCAGTCAGTTAAAGCAGCACGTTTATCATTGACGAGTACATTCATTGCCAGTGTATTCTTTCGACCTGGCCGAGAATCTCTCTATAGATTTTTGTCTGGGCAGAGTCTAGAAAACCCCAATCGGCACTGGAATTTAAGTTGTTTGACATCGGGTTGTTTATCATTCCATGTTGAACTCCTCTCTGAAAGCATGTGTTACAGTTGGATCCTCCAGACGCTTAGTGTTAAAACCTCGGTGATTTCTTTCTCTGACAATGATATAGTCAATGATGCCAGTGTTTGCATCGTGGTTGTTGTCATGAACCCTTGAACTTATCGGCCTGCCTAAACAAGGTATTCGTGATAGTGAGGTTGTATGCAGCACACTTGCTGAGGAGGAGTAGGCCGTTGGGATTACAATGCCATATCTGGCATTGAAGTCAGTAAGAAGCACAACCTTATCTACTCTGGGGATAGAGGTTAGCACTCTGTCAAGGTCGGCATAAAATGCCTCCTTGATGTCATCCTCTGCATCCGGTGTTGGGGCGTATGCACTCATGAGAAAGGCATGACGTGAGTGATTCAGTGAGATTCTGAGCATCATGAGGCGCCTGTTAATCGCAACAGGCATATCAGTTACACTGTGAAGGATGCGTTGACTGATGGCAAAGCCAACTCCATAAATGTAGTTTCTCTCCTCAGCTGGCTTACCCTTCCAAAAGAAGGTATAGCCAGACCCCCGTTCTGTGAGTCGACACTCATCTGGGAGCCAGGATTATAATTGTATTTTCGACGTCATTAGGATGACCTTATTGCATGGGTGCAGTTGCCCAGTCAGGTTAATTCTTTAGGCATGATATGTTTAGGGCACCTTCTCTAGCCCCTCCCCATGTGGGGTGAGCAGAGTTTCTCCTCCAAATGGCTGCTCAGTCGCATAGACAGGACCGGATTGCACTGCTTCCTAGATCCCAGTCCATAAACGACCTGCTTGTCTGTGCCGCCCATGTTCAGAGTTGTGACTAGAGACTCCTGGCAGCCATCTCTGCTCTCCCCGTCACAGCTTGTCCGTCTCCATGGGACTTTTGGGGTACACGGGGTTGATGATAATGACGAGTATGATGAGCTGGATGATGGCTGCACGTGAGTTGACAGATGTGGTGAGGGAAGAGCGCAAACTGCCACCACACATCTTGGCTCTCTCTTTTCCTGATCCAGTGGTGCAAGTGTTGCAACGACTGGGGAGAGGGAGAGTTGCAATTGACTGCCAATAGCCCAGTTTGATGGGTTTCGCCCTAGTAGCCTGTCCATCATGCATTGCCTTTGTCCACCGGTTTAGTCGTTGGGTTCCCATATTGGTCACCTCTTCTCCCTATACCGCCGTCGGGGTCTTGTTGGAGGTCTGTAAGCATGTCCGCCTCATGTGGGGCTCCACCGTAGATTTTTTGTTCCGGATTTACCCCTGTAGCCTTATACCTACCAAGATTAATGCACAAGCCAGCCAGGCAGTGGTTGGTAGGCGCCACGACGTTTCCAGGTGAGAGTGCACCTATGAGCCGTCCCTCTGGGGCCCACTGCTACTTCAAGATCCCCAACTGGTCTACCCTTGGCTCACAAGGCACCCAGTTACCGTGTGTTGCCACGAGGAGGAACATCAGGAGTCTTGAGGGTGAAGAGGCTGTGTACTGGCACGGGAAGACTAATGCAAGTTGCTTCCCTTTTCGCCACGAGGGCTAGCCAGCGGCGGTAGCTGAAAGCTAGGGGAAGCTAATAGTTGTTGCACCATAACATTAACATAATGCTGCGACAATAGACGCATTACACCGCCCTGCACACGCACGCACTCACGCACGCACGCACGCACCTTGTTGTTTCATGCTCAGACAACGTATTTAGTTATAATTCTTTATGCTGACCTCAGGCAGTCGGAATCAAAAATACCAAATGATCTGTTCTGTATAAAGCTTCTACACTCCCACCCTGACAGAGCACACAGACACCACACTCTCACACCAGTTCTCCTAACACCCACTGGATGTCATGAAGCAGAAAAACATGTAACTTTTAAAATGTGTGACGCTTTTAAATTGTGATACAAGGCATAACGTCTTCGATGGTGACTGTATCTTCGCCAACTATTTATAGAACATATGGTCTTCTTATACTAGGAAATTACTATATCTTACTCACATAACACTGTTTTATTAACCCTCGTAGCATGTACTTATGACGTCACATGCGCATATGTGACGTCACACCTGCACTGTGCTGAGGCCTAAAACTACCACAAGCCACTTAAAGATGTTGCCAGTTGTGATGTGTCTATTGCTTGATCGTTTATACTGTGAACAGATCAGGTAAAAGAAGGTGTCCTACTGGAGACCACCGTTTTATGCTGATCAGGTATGTTGTGTGTGTGCATAAACATGTGTGTACAGGAGCTACATGGCAGTATTTTAGTTGTACTAGCTGGCAGTGTTTCTTCATTATGTCATCTTTAGAGAACAAACTCATCCCCAAGAAACTAACAAGTACATGGGAACTGGATTTTCTGAAAACGGTGGACATAAGACAGAAATGACAGTAAGGATAGTGAACCACTGTAGGAGTGTTGGAGAGCTATTTCCCCCTCTGAGTCATCCTCCTGTGCCCCAGGAAGCTGAGAAGACAACTTTAACATTGTATTCAAGCCTATATTAACATAGGGAGCAGAAAATTGGGTAATGATATCCCAAAAAAAGAATAGAAACAAATAGCTGAAATGAGAATCAAACCAGAAATGAAAAGGTAAGACAAGTGTCGGAATTGTGGAAATTCAATTAAATTAGAACTGCACCAACACCTGCAAATGATGAAAGAAGACTGTTGATAGATAGAGAGATGCAGTGCAAGAAACTCTATAAATACAATCTGCTATTCATGGAAGTAGTAAGATGCGCTGATGTGTTGGGCCAGAGTGGAGGAGGACATGCGTCCGGTTGATACCATTAAAGGGCTGAGTAACCTACAAGGGAGCTGAAATAAGAAATATGTATACAGTACTCAACATCTTAATACTCTAATAATTAATATTTGGGGGAACTGAAAATTAATTCATCAAGTTATGTTTATTTGCTCTTCATACACAGTTGTCATATTTATTAACTACACAGAAGCCAATTGGTTAGAGTCTAACACCCACGAAGAATCAGGGACTGAAGTTGGTGGATGTTGGAAGTGTTGAAGGCAGGTGATGGAGGTTAGTTGTGAGGCGCCGGTTGAGCTCTTGTAGTTGACGGAGTTCGCTGCAGGACATTAACTCTTGGTAATAATCCTTCTCCAAATTTACCATTATAATTTAATATTTTAATGGTTTTATCTCCTGCGTTTTATAAATTTATGGGTAAATCTTGCGGTTGTTCCATTATCTGGCGGAGTCTTGAGTCTGGGAGGACGACGAGTACCAGCTTACCAATGACCATGGCCATAGCCGTACCTACGTCTTGGGCGATAGCCATATCCATAAAAGTGGCTTGCCAGAGGGTCAGCCAGAGGGTCAGCTAGAGGAAAAGGGTCAGGGTCAGCGAAGGGGTAGGGTTCAGGCATAGCTCGGGCAGACCCCATCAGGGCAGCGAGGGCCACCACCACGGCGAACACTAAACACAGCTGTAACGTGAAAGACAAAATGTCAGGCATATGTGGTAAAACAGACGGTGATCTTTGTATATTATTAAGAATTTTCGGCGTTTGTTATGCAGGGTGAATTATACTGTAGTGTTTATTGTGTTACCGAGCAGCTAATATCTGGAAGTGGAAACAACACAGAGTAGCATTATTCACCCCTGATCCAAGACCTCGTTGTTTTTAAGGTCTCTCTCTCTCTCTCTCTCTCTCTCTCTCTCTCTCTCTCTCTCTCTCTCTCTCTCATACACTCAGTCAAATACCAATGGTTTCTTAAAAACCACAAACTTGTTAGTGTGGATAATTTTCACATTAAAGATACCTCAGTTGACGCTATGTATCCATTTAACTAAAGAAGATAACCCCGAGGTGCTCAAGATAACAATTTATGCACATTATATTTGTATATATTAAACACTGAACAGACTAGAAAATAAAAGACAACACGTTAATGATGATATACGAAAACAGTAAATAAACAGGAATTTGAGAGAAAATCGGATTAATAAATTCAAAACTCTACAGAGGATTAATGAAGTTTGAGGTTGAGATACAATGAGGACCTCCAAGGCAGGACAAGACTGGAGGTGATACTCACAACCTTCATGTTGCTGGTGGAGGAATGGTCAAGCTGACTGCTTCAACAAGACTGTGCTGTCCTAGTGAGGCGCCACACCTTATATACTCCGGTCCAGAACCCGGACCCGCCAACAACCACTTCCTTCTACGTAAGGAAAAATATCAATTTCTGGTATACTCTGGGGAATACGCTCCTCTTTTGTTGGCGATTTACACACACACTAACACTAGACTCTATCTTCACGTATTATGTACGATTAATCTTTAATGGTAGATATCTCATTATAACGTTCAGATAAAAATTCCCGGGAGAGGAATGAGAATTTGCTTGAGTTCCCAGAATGACCCTAGCAATGGGAGATATGGGAGGGGAAGGGAGAAATTTGGGTTAAGAGGAAGGTGAAGAAGGCGAGTTAGAATGATTAATCCAAGAATGTGAAAAGAAAACTCCATGAAGAGGGCAATGTGATGAATAGTCGTCACAAACAGTAAAGCATACCCCCTCTATGGCTCATCGTGCAACCTAATAGCATGATTACATTTCAGCCATCTTATTGTGTGAAGTATTACTATACATATCTGCAATGACTTATCGTATGAGCAGTTAGTAGTAATATTACCAAATATAAGTTAGTCTATTATGAGTTGGTCATAGTAGTATAACCATATCTCCATTAGTTTCTCCTGTTAGCTAATACTAGTACTATAATCATATGTCTACCATTTTTGTGTAAGCTAACAGTATAACCGTATCACTTTCCGGGGTTATGGGTAAGTTATAATTAGCATAATAACCTTGTTGTCTGATCTAGTACAGTACAAGAAGTATAACCATATCATCAGCTTTTTTGTGGAAACACCCAACAGGATCATAAATATCCTTACCAATGCCGGGAAAGATACCTATCCTTTCTCAATCTATCTGTGTTACATGGCACCAGGCCTAAGTGGTTGACACTCTGAGCTGACTTATATTTATTCTCTGTAGTAAAGTGTCTGTGCAGTGTCAAACACATTTGCCTGCCCTCGCGTGCTCTACCTTGAGTAGAGCTGGAGAATCATGAGTACGTTTCATGATGAAGATCATTGTTGAGAGAGAAACTATTTTAGTAGTGAATGACGTCTCGGAAAACCATAAGTCTATAAGCACAACGCCAGTTTTTCAAACATCCCCTTGAGCTACTACACCTGTGACTCCACAAAGAGCAGCGTAATTAATATTATTTTGTGTTTTATTCTGTTAAGTGCATCTGATTGTGTGTCTGACGTGTAAAAATTATCGTGTGTATGTGTTTATCATTCAATTGTGTCTCGTGGGAGTAACATGTATGTGTATGATGGTGGTGCTGCATGGTGGTGGTGCTGCATGATGGAGGTGTTGTATGATGGAGGTGCTGCATGGTGGAGGTGCCGTACGATGGAGGTGCTGCATAAAGGGGGTGCTGCATGAAGGTGGTGCATGAAGAAAGTGCTACATGATAAAGGTGCTGCATGAAGGAGGTGCTAAATGATGAGGGTGCTGCATGAAGGAGGTGCTGCGTGAAGCAGGTACGGTACGATTACATGGAGGTTCTGCATGGTGGAGGTGCTGCATCATGAATATGCTGCATCATGGAGGTGCTGCATCATGGAGGTAAGGTATGATGGAGGTGCTGCATCATGGATGTACGGTATGATAAGAGGTCCTGCATCACGGAGGTGCTGTATTATTTAGGTGCTGGACGTTGAAATTGCTGCAGCAAGGAGGTACCGCAAGATGAAAGTGATACATCATAGAGGTACTGCATCATGGAAGTGCTGTATGATGGAAATGCTGCATTTTAGAGATGTTACATCATGGAGGTGCTGCATCATCGAGGTACTGCATGATGGAAGTACTTCATGATGGAGGTGCTGCATCATCGAGGTGCTTTATGACGGAGGTGTTGCATGGTGGAGGTGCTTCATGATGGAGGTGCTGGACGTTGGAGGTGCTGCAACGAGGATTTGTTTCATGATGATGTGCTGCATGATGTAGGTGCTGCATGATGTAGGTGCTGCATGATAAAAGGGCTGCATGATGGAAAGTTGCATCATGGAGGTTCTGCATGATGGAGGTGATGCATGATGGAAGTGCTGCATGATGTATGTGCTGCATCATGGAGGTGCTGCATCATGGAGGTGCTGCATCATGGAGGTACTGCATCATGGAAGTAATGCATGGTGGAGGTGCTGCATCATGGAAGTGCTGCATGGTAGAAGTGCTGCATGATAGAGGTGCTGGACGTTGGAGGAGCTGCATGGAAGATTTGTTGCAACATGAAGGTGCAGGGGTGATGGATGTGCTGCATGATGTAGGTGCTGCATGATATAGGTGCTGCTTGATGGAAGTGCTGCGTGAGGGAGGTGCTGCATCATGGAGGTGTTGGATGAGTGGTGTTGCATGGTGGAGGTGCTGCATGTCATAGGTACTGCATGATGGAGGTGCTGCATGGTGGAGGAGTTGCATGATGGAGGTGCTACATTGTGGAGGTGCTGCATGATGGAGGTGCTGTAAATTGAGGTGCTGCGTGAGGGAGGTGCTGCATCATGGAGGTGCTGCATCATGGATCTGTTGCATCATGGAGGTGTTGAATGAGTGGTGTTGCATCGTGGAGGTACTGCATGTCAAAGGTACTGCATGATGGAGGTGCTGCATGATGGAGGTGCTGTTGATTGAGGTGCTGCATGATAGAGGTTCTGCATGATGGAGGTGCTGTAAGGTGGAGGTGCTGGATGGTGTAAGTGCTGCAAGATGGTGGTGCTGCATGATGGAGGTGCTGCATGAGGAAGGTGCTGCGTGATAAGGTGCTGCATAATGGATGTGCTGCATCATGAGGTGCTGCATGATGAAGGTGCTGTATGAGGATGTAAAGCATTATGAGGTGCTGCATGATAAAGGTACTGCATGATGGTGGTGCTGCATGATGGAGGTGCTGCATGTTGGAGGTGCTACATGATGGAGGTGCTGCATGATGGAGGTGCTGCATGATGGAGGTGCTGCATGTTGGAGGTGCTGGATGATGGAGATACTGGATGGTGGAGGTGCTGCATGATAAAGGTACTGCATGATGGAGGTGCTGCATGTTGGAGGTGCTGCATGATGGAGGTGCTGCATGATGGAGGTGCTGGATGAGGATGTACTGCCTTATGAGGTGCTGCATTATAGAAGTACTGCATGATAAAGGTGCTTCATGATGGAGGTGCTCCATGATGGAGGAGCTGCATGATGGAGATGCTGGATGGTGGAGGTGCTGGATGGTAGAGGTACTGCATGATGGAGGTGCTGCATGATGGAGGTGCTGCATGAGGATGTACTGCCTTATGAGGTGCTGCATGATAGAGGTACTGCATGACGGAAGTGCTGCATGATGAAGGGGCTGCATGGTGGAGGTGCTGGATAGTGGAGGTGCTAGATGGTGGAGGTACTGCATGATGGAGGTGTTGGATGGTGAAGGTGCTGCATGATGAAGGTGCTGCATGTAAGAAGTGAAGGTTGCCTCCCTAAGTCTTACCACGTTCGCTGCAACACATCGGGTCTTGGTGATGTCTTGGTTGATTTTGTGGTTGTTGCGTTTTAGTTATCAGATATCATGATTGTAGTTTCCATCACGTTTACTTTTACAAGGGGGAGAGGGATCAGTCTATTAGGAAGGATAGATCAAGGTAATCCAGAGCCAGTTGGGGTCACCACCACACACTCATTTCTTATTAAATATATATACAGTATATAAATATATATATATATATATATATATATATATATATATATATATATATATATATATATATATATATATATATATATATATATATATATATATATATATATATCACATCAGTGTTTTAACGGCCATTTTACATGTTAATTAAGGAAAATGGACAATTAATTTTTATAAAGGAACTGACGTGTTTACCAAATAGGGATTTATGTTTGTATTATTGCTACAGCGTAACGATAATTAATTTGCTTGTTATTAAATTTGCTCTATTTAATTTAAGAGGTCGTTTATCATCAAAAGTTAGCCAAATTATACCTAAAGAAGGTTTCGTTAGGTTAGGTATAAAGCTATTCATTCATATTTATAATGATTATCCACTACATGATCGTGCACGGCCAGTCATAAGTTCCAAAAACATAAATAGAAGTTATCGCTACTTCGTAATTATCGGTATTTTGAAGATAGAGAGTTCAAATGTGCCATGGAGATGCGCGCGCACCCAGAAGTACCCTGAACGTGGGATTTGGGGATGAGCCGCGCAGGGCCTGACATCGACTCCCAGAGGTGGAACTTCCTCATAAAAAAAACACGTCTAAATTGGGAGGTTTATCCTATAGAGGCTGATCACACACCTAAAAATGATAATGTACAGTAGTTGATGTAGTGTCGGCGATAGTATAGTTATGGTCACAGGCTATAAACTGTCCCTCAAAAGTAAAACAGGGAAATAAATATACTGTACAGTATATGTTAGGCTAAATAAAGATAATCGTAATCTAAGCGTTATAAAGCAATTGATAGTTTTGCTTAATAGGAAGAGCTTTTAAATTTTATTGCTACAATCTAATTTGTGTGTGGTAAAATTTGTTCAGTTTCATTTACGACGTCGCTTATCATCGTAAGCTAGTCAAATTATACCTATCCTTATCCAATCTACTAGGACGGCTATACACTTATTTCAAAGATGCTGCCTTACTCGAAACATTTTGTGTACTCCTCTTTTGTAATTGCTTCCAAAGCTGCGATACATTCTCTAATATAACCTCAGTGGTGGCAAATTTTCCGGAGGGGGGGGAGGATGGAGGAGGGGAGAGGGTCATTCGGAGCCAAAGTCTAGTGAACAAGGTGAGTGATTAATCTGGGTAAAAACGCTATGGGCCAAAACTTTTTCACGTATACTACACCGTGAGCCGGAGGATTGTCATGGTGAAGAAATCAATCTCTTTTTGCGTTGCATAGAATCTCTCAAACACTTCAGGGGCTTTTAAGACTGGGACCTATTAGGGTAGGGATCTGTTAGGACTGGGAACTAATAGCATTGGCGTATAATATAACGACTGGGCCACATTGTGACTTGAACCCATGAGAAATGTGGTCTATTATTTCCAGGAGTTAAATTGACCAATCACCACAAAATAGTCAAGAACATTAAATTCAGTCACTGCTTATAATGCCTTACACACGCTGACCCGGCGGCTGAACAAGCATTGGGCCGACTCAGAAATAATCTTAGTAAAAAATCCACGCTGGGCAGCATTTAAGTCCTTGCCCTTCAGGGTA